TGATATTCACAGAATATTAAATAAATAAAGCCTAGATTCATTACGCGAATACTTAGTTAGTGGGTATTTTCCGCCACTAAGAATTTGGAAAAACATCGAAAAACATGCAATAAAATCAGTACAAAACTCCGAATGGCGAGACAGAACTGCTAACGATGTTAGTTTTAGTCGACTGAGACAAATACAAGATTCAATAAAACCGTGTCCACTTTGGAAACACTCAAAGGTCATCCCTGGTCTGCTAAAGGTTGCCACCGTAGCCTCAAAACTGAAGATGCTCGCAATGAGATGCTGCACAACGTAAGCGATGTCTTGAACCTTAACAGAACTGGGCTTAAGATAGAGTCGTTCAAAAAGGATTTTCGAGAAAACCCCTTCTGTGTGTCAGTGAAAGGCCTCCCCAGCTATATTTTACAGACAATTCAAAAGTTTTGGCAATTCTACTACCTTTCTTGTGTACTGTTGTGGAACTTTTAAATATTGATCTTACCACTTCATTTTAGAGTCATGCAAATATTTTTTAGAAATGGGACTTTCAACCACTTTTTGTCATTTTTAATAGATACGTTCTTACTTGTCATTGAAACTTTAGATGTGGACTGTTTTTGTTGTTTTTGTGTCATTTTTGTTATTGTCTTAAATTTTTAGATGTGAATTCGAACCCACCTTTTCCTGCAAACCTGCGAGCCCCCCCCCCCCAAAAAAAATCTTGAGTTAAATTATTGCAGTATTTCAGTAATTAATCGTTTTTTGATTACCTATCAACTTGAATTCTTCGGAGAAAATGAGGATTTCAGCAAGGGTGCTTTGACTTTACATGGTAACATACCTGATGGTATCAAAAAGTCAATGGTCAATGGTGTATGTCCCCATGTTGAGTCAATAATGCACCCTTGCTAAAATCCTCATTTTCTCAGAACTCAAGTTGATCGAGTCGCAACAAGTAGATTCTTTTGGAATAGTATTGCGAGATTCCATTTTCAAAAGTAAGAATATGGGTTCTTAAACAGAACATTGGGCTTGATTTTCGGAACGTTTCGTTGGTACTACACATGTGATTTTGCTTTTGCAATTGGTAAAACTTTTAAAACTGGCAAAAATAATAGTTTGGACCAAAATTAAGCAAATCTAGACGAATTTTGCAAAAAAGCAAATCTGGCAGAGATAAGCCAATTTGCTCCAAGTATAAGTACATAACCCTTATGTATACAGTTTAGTTTTTAGTTCAAAATAGTTTATTTTTGTGTCACTGATATTACAATATACATATAAAATACATAATAAAAACAACATTTTGTAACAACCAGCCGGTGCCGACTTATGAGACACAGTAAACATTATATCTGAGTGTCACCCATGCATTACTACCCCCAATGGGCAGCTTGGGTCAACATTCATAAAGACAGAGACATATAGTGCCTCTGGTAAAGATTTATACATTAATATTTTTTGTATACAAAAAACATGGCAGGCAAATTGGGTAAAATGGCGGACGACACGTTGGACGAAGCGGGAGACGCTCTCCCCTTTTTCGACAGTTTACCCGACTATATAGGGATTATACTGCAACGAGTTACATCAGAGCCGAGAGATACCATCATAGAAGAAATCAAGGAGTCTACTGATGAGGATACACTCCGACGTACCCGTGAGATCATATTCGGATTAGCAAAATGTAAATTACAAAGGAGTACAAATATTGACAATTGCGAGGGATTGAAACTCAAAGCAAGGAAAGCCGAAAAGTCAATTGGATATAGCAGAGACATTTATGATATGTATGTATATATAGCTGATTTGGATAGTGCGTTTCCAAAGGGAACTCTGAGTGCATCATGTATTCAAAACATAGATAACGCCAAACCGAAGGATGATACAACGAAAACAGCCAAAGTGCCTTCACGAATGTATGCCAGTGTCATGCCAAGCGCCACCCCGTCATCTCGTACACAGACCGCAGGTACCACAGATATCTGGGACAACAGGGTTCTCATGTCAAAAGTTATACTAATGGAACATAAACTGCTCGAAATGAGCTTTGAAAATAACAAAATGAAAGAGGACATACGTATTTTGCAAGGGCGCACATGTAAATGTAAATGTTCTTCAACAGTGTCGAATGCAACCGAGAAAGTCTCGACAAACGATGCTAATCAACCATTAGAAGTGGTTACAACAAAGGAGAATGAGGGTAATCAAACCTACTTAAACACGCATTACAAACCTAATCAACGATCACAATCTCTACCCGAGGCAATCACAGATATAAAAACAAAAACATATATGCATTTGATGACGTCATCATCAACAGCTGATCCAGTAAACAATCAAGCCAAAAACAATAACAAAGTACTAGGAAACGATGTTTCTCGCGAAAAAACAACAGAACCCCCAGTAAATGTTCCGAGCAAAACTACGCCCCTAATCACATATTCGCAAGCTCTTAAATCGTTACCAGAACGCGACAGACGCACCACGACGGAACAACACCAAGTTAAGCAAATACGATCCGGTCTAAAGGGTGTAAAAAATGAGCGATATCGTATGCTGTACCTTGAGAACATTGCTCAGAGTGAAGATGAGGACGATGAGGAAACGATACACAATATTCGTAAACATTCCCACATCACAGGTATACGCATTATGCAGCTGAACATTATACACAATCGATACGCTCGAGACAGAGTTGGGTGTAAAATTGCAGTCGCTGAATCTTCCGCCGACAAGGCACTCGAACCGATATCATGGCCATACCCTATCGTGTGCCGTGAATGGATACAACGACCAAGGAGAAGTCAACGGTATGGTGAGGGAAACAGATATAGGCATGAATATTCGTTCGACGACAGAGATTATTAATGTTCAACCCATTATATATTATACATATAGCTGCATTTCTTGCAGTCATAAGTTACACAATGGCGCATGATGCGGGCCTTAACTTAAGATTAGCGCAATGGAACCTGAATGGTTCAAGTACTGCCAGGAACGCCATGTTTGATCTCCTAGATATGAATGATATTGTTGCTGTGAGTGAACATATGCTGTTTGAGTGTAACTTAAATCAATTGAATGTAAACGAGACTGGTTTTAACATGTATGCTACATGCAGTAAGCATTTAAGAAATGAGGACTGTGGTCTGAGGTTCGGCTCGGGCGGTGTTGGTCTGTTATGGCGCAAAACGCTAGATGCTAATGTTTTCCCTGTCAGCTCATTGTCAAACGACAGGATGGTTTGTGTTAAATTATGTTTTGACAACAAAACATGTCCAATATTCATCTTCTCAGTATACTTACCTCAACAACAATGTAGAAATGATAGCTTTGAAGACGTTCTTATAAATTTAGAGAACGTTGTTCAGAAGGCTCTTAATGATGGTTACGTAATACTTCTTGGTGATATGAACGCCCACTTAAAATATAACATGCATGATGGCCTACGTAGTTGGGGTGATGGTACATTTAATGGTAAATTGTTTGAAAACATGTGTACTCGTAATGGTCTACTAGTTGCAGACTTAATATCATGTGATGGTCCAAACTACACGTATGAATCTCCAAGTGGTCATAAATCGTATATAGATCATGTAGTTGTTTCAAATGAAATTCTTCAACAGATTAAACAATGCACAATTATAGATAACAACGCTACTTTCAGTTCATCCTCAGACCATCTTCCAATGGTCACACTCTTAAAATGTGGAGTCTTAAAATCCATATCTAATGATAATAACCATGTTAAACGTGTAGCTTGGACGAAAGTAACTAGTACGATTAGAATGTTTTATTGTGAAAAGATTACAAACACGTTAAATAAGATTTTGATAGAAATGCATAGAAAAGAGCATAAGTTGACCAATGATGAAATTGATTTGTATTTACAAGAGATTGTCAATGTAATTCATGAAGTAGCTGGGGAAATGTTACCAATTAAGAAATTCAAAAAGCACCAAAAGCCTTTCTGGGCGCCTGGTCTCACGGTACTAGTTAAAAAGCGCAACAGTTTATGGCATCTGTGGAAAGACGCTGGCAGGCCTAGGAATGGTGAGTTATTTCAATAGTACAAACTCTCGAAAAAAGTATTTTCGAAAGCTTTATACCAGGCGGAGTTAGAATACGAACGCGGAGAAATGGCAAAGCTATACGATTCTGAAGACATGGACCAACGTTTTTTCTGGTACCTTCTCCAGCGCAGCAGGGGCACTAAGAAACGCTCAAATTCATCAATAAGAAACAAAGATGGCGTCATAGTCAATGATCCAGAAGCAGTGTGCGATGTATGGCGTTCACATTTTGAAGCATTAGCGACACCATCGGAAAGCAACCTATTTGACAATGATCACGAGAATATGGTTCGTGATCGAGTAAAACAGCTTCTCAATGATTCTAAAAATGATGAAGATGAAGATGAACAACTGAACCCGCTCTCATACGCTGAACTTCAGGCGTCTCTGCGTAAAATGAAGCACGGCAAAGCCAGTGGCGCTGACAACGTTACGATGGAGCACATCGAATACGCAGGTCCCACTATACTGAAAACCCTATTATGTATTTTCCAGAACATTATATATAACGAGTACACTCCAAAGATATTCAGAACTGGGACTCTAGTACCGATAATTAAAGGGGGTACGCGGGACACACTCAAAACTACTGATCACAGAGGAATAACCCTTATGTCTGTTATCCGAAAGCTCTTTGACAGTGTTCTTCTTTCGCGATACAAATCACGACTTTTGAACTGTATACCCCAACTACAAGGAGCTTCAATTGATGGATGTTCCTCTCTTCATACGTCATTGACCCTACATGAGACCATTGATTATAATACGTCACACGGAAGCGCAGTACACGTCATATTATTAGACATCCAATCTGCATTTGACACCTGCTGGATTGAGGGACTCTTCTACAAGTTATACATTAATGCCAAAATCAAAGGGAAGCTATGGAGACTCTTGTACAACTCATATCAGAACTACTTCTGCGGCGTTCAAGTCGCCGGAACAATGTCAGAGCCCTTTAAAATACGCCAGGGAGTATTTCAGGGGGCCGTTAACAGTATGATCCTGTATCAATTTTATATAAGTGACTTATTAACGGAACTCCAAAGGAGCAATTTAGGAGCCAAGGTCATGGGAATGAATACCTGCTCCCCAGCGTACGCTGATGACATTGCATTAGTAGCTTTATTCCCAGGGGCAATGGACACGTTGCTGGATATCTCATTTAAACATAGTTCAAAATGGAGATACACTCTTCACCCACAGAAATGTGTCGCGCTAACGTATGGTAGCAACGAAAAATACGCATTTAATTTAGGGACGGACACGATAAAAAACGTCACGAAGGCCAAACATGTGGGCATACCTCTGAGTACAACCGGAGATTTTAGTGACCACACCAAGCACGCTATATCAAGTGGCAAAAGGAAACTGTTTACGCTTTTTGGACTCGGTCATAAAACAAACGGCCTATCCCCCATTCTAGCCACTAAGTTGTATAATAGCTTTACTGTTCCTACGTTTCTCTACGGTGATCAAATCATCAACTATAAACAACGTGATGTTGAAATGATGGAAGTGGCCCAACGCGAAATTGGACGAAGGATACAATTTCTTCCCAGTAATTGCAGCAATCCAATGTCGACGATGCCACTGGGAATGTGTTCAGTTAAACTAAAGATGGACTATGACAAACTCCTTATGTTTTTCAGTATTATTACGCTTCCCATGACAAATATTTACAAACAACTACTGATGATGCGCTTTATGAGCATATTTATACAAGGAAAAAAATGGGATTCACCAATATACAGGATGTGGGAGTGTATAAAACGTCACAATCTATTAGACTATGTGATCAATATGATTACCAACGCGAATTTTCCATCTAAATATACATGGAAAAGGATAATTAGGAATATAATAGGCACCAAACAGAGAAACGACTACAACACGATTTGCGCAATGTACAAGCGCCACGACATAGGTGTAAAGATTTCGGATGTCTCAACTAATAGAAGTGGACTACTTAAACCATGTATATGGTGGTTACTCGCAAAAATGAAACCAGAAAATCTTCCAGTATGTAAAATTATGATGCGCCTCTCTACAGACTGCCATGAGCTGCGCGTAAAAAACTCTGGGCTAAATTGTATTTGCGTTTTGTGTAATACGTTTGAGGTAGAAACGATTGAACATTTCCTTAGCTCCTGTGAGGCTTACTTTGATGAACATGCCAGACTGACTTCTATTATAAATAAATACGGTAACCCTTGTGATTTAAAGAGCGTTGTATTCGGCTATCACGAACATATAACTGAAAATGACATGATCCAAATAGGTGAAATTGTTCTCCAAATGAGTATAAAAAGAGCTCGTTTAATGCGAGCGTACACTGGTAACCAGATGTAAAAAGGTGACCAAAAAACACTTTCTGTAAATAGTTTTGACTTTATTATGTACATGTATATGTGTTGTAAATTATAAAACTACTCTGTTTAACTACAGGTTAATAAATTAATAATAATAATATGTTTTGATTTTCTGAGAAAGATAAATATGCTACTGTACCACGTGTGTACATAGTTTGAAAAAATAAACGATAGAAACATGAGTTTAATATTTTGTTTCCTTACAGTCCAATACATACAGTATGTATACTATAGTATATTAAGTTTTACTATATAATACATGTGATAGGGAAGTTAAATCACACGTTTTTTAGAAAATATTTCGCCCCCGGGAACTATTGTCCCACTCTCAATTCACGTTTGTAGGGACCGTAATTAGTATATACATTTATTGTTTTATACCCAATCGGCCAAGTAACCAGTACAGACGAGAGTCAACAGAGGATATGTTATGAGGATATGCGTATAGCAGCTACGTTAAATGAGTATATAAGTGAATTGAAAGTGGCGTTTCGCAAGAATATGTTATACGTATAGAAATATGTTTTCTCGATCAAATCTTATGTTCTTTTCACCAAGAATTGGTGTTTTCTCCTCCAAACTTCTTATCAATAAGGTGTATTGGATAGGAATATGACTTTATGCCAAGTGTCACCCTACTAATTCCCTAATAATAACTCTGTCAAAACGAGATAAGCATTTACTTACTAATAAACAACCTTTTATTAGCGATGACTTCTTATAATTGAACAGTGCTGCCCAACAAATTATGATGTAGTGCACACACTTGATCAGCACAATTTCATAATTTATAAACCTAAGGGATTTATAAACACGCGTTGAGAAATCTCCAAACAACTTCAGACATCGTGTAGCGAAGCATTATATATCATTTTAGCAAAAGTATAAAGGTTTTGAACGATTGTCAAATATACACATGAACATCATTATTTAAAGATTCCAGAAATAAATTAAATTAAATCTTGAACTATTCGAATATTCTTAATATTTAACATTTAATTGCTTTCATTACTTCTAGTCAGAAACCCATGCCTCTCTATCGTTTCAAAAAATTGACCCAACGTATCGGTCTCTGTTAATTTATGGCATCCATACTTTTTTGAAAGGTAACATTTTGAGGTTCAATTTTCTGCCGGATGCCCTTGCAAACTCTCATTGGTTGCTCTGTATTGTTGCATTCCGTTACCATGGTTACGCATCTATAGACATCTTACCTTGGAATCTTAAATCATTTGTAGCTTTGTCATTATTTTGTCTATAGAAATGATATTGGTATCAAATTAAACCTAAATAAATTTCTCATATAATTATAATATTCAATTATGCAAATTAGCTGATTTGCATAAATTGTGACGTCATGAATCTATTTTTGGTTCAGAATTTTCAAGTATAGCAATGTATCTTTAAGAACTGAAGCCGTACGGTAGAATTTCTTCAATGTTATGACTTTTATTCTATGAGCAGAAGGTTTAAACAACATAAAAGTGAAAACAGATTCAAAATTGGATCAGAACTAACAAAGTTATTAAGCTTTCTAGGCAGCTACCATGAACGTTATCACTGAACAATTAACTTTAAACATCTTACCTAAGAATTGATATGTTTGGTAGCTTTGTCATTATTTGGTCTATTAAAAGGAGATCTTGGTATCGAATTGATCCTAATTGAATAATCGGTATGGAAACGATATTCAATTATGCAAATTAGCTAATTTGCATAAATTATGATGTCATCAACCTATCTTTGGTTCAGAACTTCCAAGTATAGCAACATATTTATTAGATCCAAGGTTGTATGGCGTAGTTTCTGCATGTTTGTCATTTATTCTATGAGTGGAAGAGGTATGAGCAACATAAAAATGATTCAGAATTGAATTAGTATTAGTTAAGTAATTCAGCTTTTGAGGCAGCTACTATGAATGTTACTATTTGACAATCAAAAATTAAACACTGAAATAACAAAAATGAAACAAAGCTGATTCAAGCTTATCGAGTGAAATCTATATATTTTCCATGTCACTGAATTAGTTGGTGTATAGAAATGATACAAGTATTTATAATTTTGACTATCATTGACAGGGGTCAAAACAGTTTTTTTGATTTTGTAACATGATTTATTGTTTGTGAGAAAGTTATGGATTAATCAGTTAGTGAATGGGTGAATGGTATTGTGAAATCTGTTATGTAATCTATAAATTTTAAACTGATTTGCTTCATAGGCGTCAATCTATTTAAAGAGATGAAACATTATGCCTGGTCAAACATCAATATTTGTTCTGCGATTCAAGCAGTGAACATCTACATGAATTTTTAAACATTATATTATATTATTATAGATTATATCATTGCTGTTTTTCATGTCATCACCATCGTCATATTGTTATGACGATGACTGCTGATGACGTTGCGCCATTCTTACACCTAACACCGAACTGATTTTACCATACTTTATGCTTTTTGAAGAAATAAATCTTATTTGTTGAATTTCTAGCAGAAATCGCCTCCCCTTCACTCATTTTGTCAGATTACTGGCAGTGACATTAAAGATACAATTTTTATTTTATAGGGTGTCTCAAAAATGTACCCAAAGGTATATCAACAGCAAAGATAAATCAATCAATATTTTCAGATATTTTTGCATGGTCATTTAGGAAAAGCATGTAAGTTTCTCTCCAATACTAAATTTTTAGTTCAGTCTTGCCTTTTTGATGCTTTTTAACCCTTTTTATACCATGTGTTTAATTTAACCTCCTTACATTTTGATAAGAGCCTGCATCCTTACTGCTACATTGTTTATCATATATGATAATGTTTCTGGTGGAATGTTTTGAATTTCCTTTCACATGTTGATCTCAAGTTGTTCTATGTCTCTAGGCTTGGGATAAGCATAAACATGGTTCTTGAAGTCATCCCAGAGAAAATGTTTGGGGTGTCAAATCTGTTGAATAGGGAGCCCTCACAATGTCTATATGCAGAGAGAAGAAACTCCTTTCATGGGAATTTTTGTGTGGCAATTGCTGTACATGGAGGGGCTCAAACTGTCTGGAACCACAGTGTTCTCATTTGGATATCATTCAGTCTCCGTAACTCTGGCAGATGGAACTCCATTATCAAATAACCGCTAAATCATTTGACGATAATTGACCTGGTTCTCTGTGATTGTTCTGCCATATTCAACCTTGGAACTTCTTTCTCTAGGGCTATTTGAAGGAACATGTTAAGCTAATCCCAACCCAAAAGACCTAGAACAACATAAGGCCAACACCCAAAGAGAAATTCAAAACATTCCACCTGAAACATTATCAAATGTGATGAACAATGTAGCACAAGGATACAGGCTGTCATTGAAATATGAAGTAAAAAGTAAAGGGTTAAATCATCAAAAAGGCAAGACTGAACTAAAAACTTTGTATCGGGAAGGAAACGTACATGCTTCAGCAACATGACCATGCAAAAATGTCTGAAAATATTGATTGGTTTAACTGTGCCGTTTATATACTTTTAGGTACATTTTTTGAGACACCTTGTATTATTTATCATACCAACCTATCATAGTTCATAGATACCATTGCATTTTTATATTAAGTGTTAATGAAGCGTAGAAATGAATAGTGAGGGCTTTAACCCGAGAGTTTCTACATCCATATGACACTGATTTAATGTCATCAGTGTGACATTGATATCCGCGTTAAAATCACCTATATGGCATTCATTCATGTTATAACCATCTACATGTATATGTAACATTGATATTCATTTAGCATTACCCATGTCTTGGACCCATATGGCAGTGGTTGAATTGTTCTTATGTATCTATTTCAGTGGTGACTTTCATTACAGGGATGCTTTTTATTCTTAATGTTTCCATGATCTTTGTCACATCTCCATGAGTTCATGTTTACCTCACCAGTGTGATTTGACTCCCAAATATATGTGTGACATTAATCTCCTTGTTAACATCATCTATAGATGTGACTTTGATTCAGCTCCTCTCAGCACATCTTATTGTGATGACTTTTGGATAACTGCCCCAACAGTCAGGCCTACATGTACATCTATGACTTTTTGATATAATCTGTTATATTGATCAGATCTTCGGAAACCCTTGTCTGAAAATAATTTAAATCATTACAATGAAGTAATTATATCCTGTACTGGTCTTCGTTCAGAATTGCAATCTATGCTCCCTAAACTACATACTGTATGCTATTTTCATTCCATTAAAGCTTCTAAGCTATAAAAGTGTATATTAAAATAGTTTATTCAACCTCTGTCAATCATACAACGTGATTAACTCCTTTATTTTGCGCTAAAATCTCCTGTTGTTACTGTTCTCAGTTTTGAATGGTATCCATACTCTTTGGGATATACCTGAAATCCATCCATTTGAGACTCATATTTTTTCATAGATTTTTACATATTTCATATTTTGGAAACCCTTTAAAACAAGTTCAGATTATAAGTCCTATACCACACATACTTCCATATGAGTTAGATGTAGGAAACCTATATGTAGATGTAGGAAGGGTTAGTTAAAGTCCTACAAAAATCACTTCTTTCAAAAATATTTTAAAGGGCATTTTTTCTTTGTGGCTATTTCTATCAATACACTTTAATTTCAGGATTACTAGTACTACTACTGAGCTCTTTGTATGGATTTTGTCATCATTTTTCATTGCATATCAAAGAGGTTATACTATGTAAAATTAAACTTTTCATTTTACTTCCCGAAGTACCTACTTTCTGCTTATAGTCCATTTTCAGAAAAGCTATGACATAAACCATTCTAAGGTTGAATCAACAAGGATTTTGAAGGTTAAAAAATTCCCTTAAAGGACAACTGAAATAGCTTTTCTCAACTTGCAGCTACAAAAATGTGGTTTTCTCCATCGTAAGCCCAACGTAGAGTTCTTGCGATAGCCATTATAAAATAAATGTTACATAACTTTCAATGGTCATAAATAACGAAATAAAACTAACTGATTAATCAAATTGGCCCCCACGTGATGAGTAACGTCATATACAAAATATAGCTTTAGTTTGTTGGTTCCTTAGTAATCACAACGTCACGGCAACCATAGGATTGTAGTGTAAACCAAAACAAAACATTTTGGCATTTTGACGTTATGGGCCACGTGGGGACCAGTGAGAGATCACGTGGGGGCCAATAACGTCACAACCAATTTGAATATTACTTATTAAGCAGCTATAACGATCGTTAGAGTGAAATAGTTTTCGCACTACTGATGAGAAAACATGTCCAAATACATTCATCAAAAAATTATATTGATTCCTGTAGGTTAAAAATACCATTTCATATCTGCTTTTAGTAGTTGGCACATTAGCTGTGTGGGCTCGCCATTTGCCACCGATTGACTTATTTTGGGCATTGTTTTTTATAATTAATTTACTTTTTATTTGATGTGATAGGGATATCTTTCTGTAAAACTATTTGTTTTGCCCACCCTGTATTCATGCTGTACCCTGCCATCATCTGTCGGAAAGTATTCACATGGTGGCGAATGATGAGCTACAAGGCCTAAGTGTGACAGCTCCATCAAAGGAATGCATCCTGGAGGGTGTGATGTGACTCCCTCAATAATTGACACATTGGGACATGAGATGGAAATGTTAATATCTAAGTTCTAAAGTTGACACTCTATCGGTATTTTGAATATAAAATGGTAATTAAGATTTATTTAGCTTATGTCCAAATATCAACAAAATTTTGTTTTCAGCTTTATCACGTGTTAGAAATCAAATGAAACCAGGAATACTCCTCCATATAAATTTTGTAAATATTGATATGTATATTTGTCAACATATGTCAAAAAAGCATAATTAAAGCATTGCTATGTATTCATATGGATCATTGACAGTATATGGTGAATTATAAAATTGGATTTTCAAATACAGGATCGAGATCACACGATTTTGACCCCTGTGAATGATAGTCAAAATACATATAACATATCCACACTTACATGTTCAGTTCGATGGAAAAATATGAACAAGTCATGTGCATTTTTACTCAATAAGATTGAAACAACTGTGTTTGTTTCTTTTTTTTCGTTATTGTAATATTTTTTATAATTGTAAAACAATGACGTTCACAGTAGCTGCCCAAAAAGCTGAATAACTGATAATTTTGATCCAATTCTGAATCTGTTGTCTCTTGAATGTTGCCTATATCTTCCACTCATGAAATAAAGGTCAAAACTATGCACACATTCTGTCATACAGCCTAAGTTCTAATATAGATGTTGCTAAACTGGGATATTCTGAACAAAAATTGATTGATGACATCACAATTTATGCAAATTAGCTAATTTGCATAATTGAATATTGTAATCATACATGAAACAAGGTTTAATTTGATTCCAATATCATTTCTATAGACCAAATAATGACAAAGCTACAAACATTTTAAACGTCCATGGTAAGATGTCTGAGTATAATTGTCAAATAATGACATTCACAGTAGCTGCCTCGAAAGTTTAATAGCTTTGGTAATACTGATCCAATTTTGAATCTGTTTTCACTTTTATGTTGCTTATACCTTCTTCTTATAGTCTAAAGGACCAAACTTTGCAGAAATTCTGACATACGGCCTCAGTTCTAATAGATACGTTGCTATACTTGAAAATTCTGAATCAAAAATTGATTGATGACGTCACAATTTATGCAAATGAGCTAACTTGCATAATTGAATATCATTACTTTATGGGAAATTTAATTAGGTTTAATTTGATACCAATATCATCTCTATAGACCAAATAATGACAAAGTTACAAATGATTTAAGATTCCAAGGTAAGATGTCAATAGATGCGTAACCATGGTAACGGAATGCTACAATACAGAGCAACCAATGAGAGTTTGCAAGGGCATCCGGCAAAAAATTGAGCCTCAAAGTGTTACCTTTCATAAAAGTATGGATGCCATAAATTAACAGAGACTGATACGTTGGGTAAATTTTTTGAAACGATAGAGAGGCATGGGTTTCTGACTATTCTATAACTTCATGAAAATAACTGAGTCCGAGTCGGCTTGGGTCCGAATTCACCTGACACCGTGGATATCATTGCAGTTTCTATCAGAGATTGTCATTCGATGTAAAAATACATTATAGATTTGATGAGTTTCATGGTGCTGCATTGGTAACACATTAGTCATTTTATATTTGTTTGTTTAGCATTGAATTGCTTGACAACACATCTATATCCATTCATTGATCGCGGAAGTTTCTAATTTATTCTACATTTGTCTAATTCAATAGGTATTGTCTGAATCCTTTATTTTAAGTATATTATGTATGTTTGATTCGACGGAACATTAAATCGATCTTACTCGTACATTCTGGGGTTGGGACAAACTGACCCGATCAGTTGTTAGACATTTAGATTGACCATGATAGCCCATGGATTGACGGATAGAGGGAAGGATAAATGGGTCAGTAGATTAGATAGCATTTTGATGGTTAGTGATTATACCAATTATTGCAAAAACAATAATAAAATAATCTCCTATTGAATGTCCCCAAGTTTGTAACGATGATGATGTACATGGTAAGGATGTAGTTGAGTTAGTCATGGTGATACGTGATTGTACCCCAGCAGTAATAGGTGACATTTTTCTAATATATCTCTCCAAGACTTTACTGTCAATATCACCTGAAACAAAACAACATTTAATTAATTATCCAATTATTTACAAATAGATTCAAATTGGCATATGTATGGTTTACATTCATTTCGCTCATACCAGAGAGACATTTTAACTTTTCTAGAACTCATAGATCGTTACATATTTATTTATTCTGTTTTGTAAATTCATAAACAAAAAAGGAAATAGGAAATCAACAAACCGACATACCTACTGCAAAATGATTGATCTTATTATCACGTATGACTGAATAACCATCTCCACCATTTGCAATATAATCGGGCATCACTATTTTATAATGTTTACTTAGGTCCAATTCTTCGAGTTTAGGTACCATACAATTGGCACAAGCTGCTTTAATGCTCACAACTCTACTCCCAACTGGCTTTCCAATGTTGTATTCTACTTCAAACCCTGGAGCATCAAAATACAGACAATTAGAACTCCGTTTATTTAGAACAGATATATTTCAAAATAAGTAAAATACACCAAAACATTTGATTGCCTAGTTTATTTCATTCTTACTTTACCACGCTCGTTGATCGTACAAAATGGATGGAGGGGGATTAGGCGATTTCTGCAAGAAAACTCCAAAAAATTGGAAGATTTATTTTTTCAAGAAGAGAAAATTTACAACTGAATTGCCAAATGAAAAGGCGTAGTGCATGGCAAAATATGTTAAGCCATCTAGTATTTTTTTTAACTGATACCCTTCTAAAATATGAGATCTATTAAAAAAAGGCGCATCATCACCAACGTGCAAAAGTCAATGTTTTGGCTATAAAACGGGCAACAATGGTCTACACAACCTGTAATAAATAGGTATAAGGGACGTTATTATTACAATACTAATGATATTGCTCACTTTTTAAAGTTAGTTTCCATGCGTTATACAAAAAATAATCGAAATAGATTAATATAGGATGAAGGGGGGTAGGATGGAGGTGGATAGGATGGAGGGGAACAAACCGTCAGCAGACAGCCGGCAGTCGAGTTCGCAAATGCTACCAAAGCCTGTGTGGCACTTAATCTCAAACAGTTATAGCAAACTATGTGGAATAGAAAATACATAATTATATTGTTTATGTTATGATATTTAGAGGTGTTATCTATATTATATGTCTGTATTGGGGGGGGGGGGGGGTTGTGACATTTTAATTGGAGTGTTCTGTTCAGTAGTTGACCAATATCTATAAAATGTTTAATGTTTATGTTGTTTTGGTAGAGGAGGAAGGGTATTGGTACGTTGGGCCTTAATTGGATATTTGGGTTTGTTTTGCCCAATCTCACATGCTTACCTGATACTTGAAGGAACCTCCCTTTGCCAGTACTTATTCTTGAAATGGAGTTTTCAAACATATCCCAGACAGTCTGTCCAGTCATTTCCACAATATCTGCTAGGTTTTGGAAGGGTAGCGCATTTAAAATTGATTCCATTGTGATATCTGAAAATAGTGTATTTTTAGAGCCAATCATACTGGCATAACATAACATGCAACATTTTGAGTGATGCCTCACTTGTTTAACACTTCCATAGGAAAGATGCATTATGAGTTATGGATTTATTTTGGATTTGGAAAGGTAGAATCACATCTTGCAAGGTGACACGTTTGACAAAAGAATGTTTCAATTCAAGGATATTTCGAGTTCATATCAATCCTTGTCATGTCTTTTTTTCTAAAATTCCCCAAAGCATATACTTTATTTATTTTGGTTATGAGAAAAACTAAAGATGATTACAATATGTTTTATTTATACTGGCATTGATAGTCATGTCTTTCATCTATATCGAAATTACGTTCCAATGGTTCAATCTAAATACAATATCAAGCAGTTCCTGTACGTGTATGTGTGCTAGGCCACCATGTACATGTTGCAAGTAATTTTGTCACTCCTAATAGATATGATTCTGCCTTGTGTTACGCTACCTCCGTGTTTTATTGACGACCTGATGCCTCCAGAGTTCATTACAGCAAGAGACACGTTGTTCCAGGCTGTATCAGTTGGAGAATATATGTTTTTGTCAAGTAAGGCATCTGCGTAGAAATTTCCGAAGTTACATTCGCCATACCTTAAATATGTTATTTTTAATCAAGGTTATAAAATTTCTTACATAGTTTTTATGTTAAATATAAAGAAGTAGTGGCCTACAAAGACATTGTTTGCAATTAGTCAAGTTAATACCTAGCTCCTGATTTAGTAACCTATTGTTATTTTTCTATTCATTTTGTTATAATGTACTATAATGTTTTCAATAAACCCACCACATGGAACATAAGTAAATAAGATTGGCAGTTATGCTCTAAATGTGTGAACAATGCAAGAACGTAGTGATGTGAACAGAAAATACAAATTTGGAAAATATAAGACATCTCTCTTTTGTAGTACCTTAATTTGCCGTTACATTTTTTAACATACATACCTACATGAGGAACGCTCTCCATCCAGGAAAACATTTGTCGAACCAACTGTTGTATTTTTGAATACAGCCAGCTTGTCAACAAACGGTGCCATCTTTTTAACCATATCTGCGTCTAAAATTGCATTAAAGACATGTACACGTTTCCGGTTTTGAACTTGTAATAGTGCTTTTAGGGTAATGGGTCCGCTACTCTCAATGCATTTCATACTTGCAACTGATGAAAATGACACTAAGAGAGATATGAAGTAGTGTTTAGCAATATAAGGCGACACTTAGAATAAAATAAAAGTATGGATTAATAATTGATTTTAAGTGAATTTTACTTATTGAGGTAAATTTAGTAATGATAAACGCAACCTTCGTCGATCGATCCATTTAGGTAAATAGGATTCCCATCCCAAGATGTAACAACTCCATTGTCGTCAAACGAAAGTTGTAGGTGACCAAGGTACTTCGCATAATGGAAATCTTGTACAGCCAATACTTTGGCCCCTGATGTTTGTGTCACTACAGTCGGGTATGGTCCCTCAACAAGTTCATTTTCTGGTGTACCAGGTACTGGTCCTATGCAACAAAAACATACACGTTTATGTTTAATTAAGACGTTGTCCTCTCACAATCTGTATAACTTGTCGAAAGGGGGTGTACAGTAGATGTCAAGCGGGAACGGTTTCATTATAAGGTTAAGGATTTAAGCCCTGAATTGTGGAATGACCATTCCCTGAAAGTGTTGCTCTCTAATATTTGCACGAGACGCGGAGCATCAAGTGTTAATTTAAGAAAACAACGTCTGAAATAACGTGTTCTGGTTGGCTTGAATTGGACTCATCTAGCATAGCTATGTGTGAACAATGAATTACAGTGAGTAAAACGGTAAAATTAGAAATGAACTTTTGTTAAAATATATTATCACCATTATATAGGAATGTATTGCTGTGTCCACCGACAACTAGATCAAGTCCAGTGACCTCCTTGGCAATTTCAAGGTCCTTTTGCCAACCAGAATGGCCCACTGCAATTATCTTATTTATTCCTTCGCCTTCCATTCTCCTTACTTCGGCTTGTATTGAAGGGATCTCTTCTTGGAATTTGAGTTTCCCTAAAAATATGACAATTGCTGGACAGGTATATATTTAAAGATGTATACATGTGAAATAGACAACAGCTAAATTTAATTTGTGATTAGTTAAGAAAACACCAATTCCAAAATGATAAAGATCAATAGAAAATACAAGCAACATAGAAGAGCAAAAGCATTCATAAGGAAAACGAACCATCAAAAACTTTAATTGAACACACAATATCGAACACCTCATTTTCCCATTGTTTAAAAATCACGGTCTGATATATCTTGAATAACAAAAATATGCCCAATACTCCTGATGGTCACAGGTACTGAATACTATTCCGTCTCAAACGATACGGGACCATTAAAAAAACAGTCTTTAAGTCCAGAGGGGGAGAAACACCAGGGTTCAAAGATGACATACGCTTATAATGTAAATCTGTATTGAGATGACACGGTCGCTGATTGGTCAAAAGTCGACAAACAAATTACGTCATCAATGGCGGTTTCAAAATTTTCGAAATACGCTTCGAATGATATTATGTTCATTTCTGGCGTGTTAACCAATATCATAGCTTCTCATTTCACATCAAGATAAAGAAAGGTGTACGGAATATGCCTATATCAATTATAACATCCCATCGAAGTGTAGTATTTGATAACTAGCCGATGGAAATTCGAACGAACGAAGGTGGTAAGCAAGAGAGGTAATTAAGTCTGTCATCTTGAAACTCTGGGGCTTTCCCTCCTCTTCTCTAAGTCCATAAGAATGTCACAGGGTCAACTCCTTTCCACAAAACAATCACCATAGTCCATAAAACCACGGAATATACCTCCATAATAAAACAAAATGAATCGCAACAGTCATTTGGAGCAAGCTATGGCTGCGTTCGATTCCTTATCCCCAATCATCAAAGCCAAATTCGAGGATCCACTTTAAAGGAGCTAAGTAGAAATGTGAGTTCAATGCAAATACATTTTTGGGCACGAGGTGGATTCACGTTGTGTTTGTGTAAATATAGATATCAGATAATTGTTTGTTCAATAGTATTTGATTACAGAAAAGATTTAAAATCGACGACACTTGACACTTTTTGAATTGTGATATTATGTATTCAATCAATATCCTTAACAACCCTGTTCAAACTAACCTCAGGGGGGGAGATTTCTCAAAGATGCCCTATCATATTAGCACGTTCGAAAACAAATTTTATAAACAGGCCTCAATTTGCCGTTGAAATGGATCTCCAAATGTTCACTGTAGTTTTATGAGTATTCTCTATAAGTATGGATCGAGTAACTTCAATAGTATTACCGTAGATTTGAAATGATGATGTTGAACTGATGTTAACGCCATTCCACCGATTTCAAATTTAACTCTGCGCATGCGCAGCACTGAGAGAGCACGTGCTCATGATTGTTCACGTGATCGAATCCTGCAATTTGATTGGAGATGATGCAAGAGATGATGTAATGGGGAATCCCCGAATACGATAGAATATGAAAGAATTATGGGAGCTACTCACTCCTCCTGAACTAACCTAACATGCTTGTATTTGTGTTGTTTGTTGACAACTTTAACGTTATTTTACGAAGATGTTGATAAAGTGTAGTGCCATCTGACATCATCAATATATGACTTAAACGACAAATGAATGAATGTATTATGTACCGAACAATTTCAAAGTTTCTCTCATTATAAGCAATTACCAAATTTCAGAGATAGTTCTGGCATTGTTGAAATGAGGTAACCGATTATTCCTATCTTCTCCCCCTGGAATTCGACCACTGTGCTCTTCTTGAACTTTCCTTGCATTCTCGGTTCTTCACTATCGTCTACATTGCACGCTAACACGGGGAAGGTGGTGTTGTCAAGGAAGGCAACCAAGCCATTGATATCGATATCAAATTCATGGTTGCCGAGACTCTACGATCATGAAAAGTTTAATATAGTATATATATATATTGATCTGATTGTACCCTTAAAATGTACACTCGATCTTCATTGAGGCTTTACGTGCGGATTCTCGATCGATTCTGTTTATTCCTTCAGAAATATCTATGCCAAAAATAATTGTATCAAATATCAAACTTACTGTTAAGTCATATGCCAAACTTAAAGTTAACAGTATGCCATATGCCAAACTTACCATTGCGTCATATGCCATCATGTTCATAAACTGAGCATTAGCGAGTCCATCAAATGCATAAAACCAAACAGTCCCCTGGAATTGGTCGCCAGCATCTAACAATAGGACATTTTGTTCAATTTGTCGTATCTCTTTTATTTTAGTAAGCCTTCTTGCCACACCTCCGTAGCATTCTTTGTTGTCTCTTTCAGTTGGTGAACAAGTCCCGCCAAAGCTATTGAATTCTTCAATTCTTGCATGGACGTCATTGGTATGAAGAAGTGTGATGTTGAGAGCCTCATAGACTTTAAATATTCCAGTTATTGAACACACGAGGAAAATTCTGATACAAAGATATGACATGATTCTATGTATATAAAATTATAAGTATTTGTCTCTAGAGCTATGAGTATCTAGTACGACTGTTTAATGTGTTTTTATTGATAAGAATACCAATATCCATATTTATTAGTTATTAAATATTCTAAACTGTACTCATAATGCATTTCGGGTCATACGTCTGCAATACCACTTCCTAATATAGAGAGAATATTTGTATTTAGAGTTTCTATATGTATACATCATGTCATGAGTTGAACAAGTAGCGATTGACAAAGTTACACTTTATGAGATATTTAACTAGGACACGGCACACACAGTTCGATAACATTGAAAGTGACCCTTGCGAGTGGCATGTGAAAAATAATGCGTTAATAATAATTTGTTTTATTTATTACTTAGGATAAGGTAATTTTAAATACATATTATATTTTTCTCATATGACTAACCATGGAATTCTAATGCAGGGTAATACGATAATTACTTTATTGTACTCATACCTGTGTAAATCTGTCCATTCTTGATTTTAATCTTTGATAATATTTCTTTATCTCGTCAAAGGAGATATCTCATCAAGAATGGACGATCTTGTGCAGGAACTCATACAATTATCTCTATATTTAGTTATACAAAACTGCTTCTTTTGAGGTGAATTAAAATTCAACACGTTTGAAATTAGAGTTGAATTATTTTATTTCCGGTTGATATAACGTCGTAACGTTAGTGAAATCGAACGCGATTTCAACTGATTGGATAACATGATGTGATCATGAGTAGGTTATGTGAGTAGATGCACGATGGGATCGTGTTATTCTGCGAGCAGCAACCTAAGCGTTTATACACAGTTTTAGGTAGATGCGACTATTATGGGTGCATTCGGTTTTTATCATTTAGCTCTTGTTATATGCATTTATTGATACCTATACACGATGAACAGAGGATGCATATATTGCAATACCGTCAATGTGTTTCTACATTGGGATTGATACTCGTCTTACATGCAGTAAGAAAACCAGCGATTTGGCAAGGGTAAGAAGTAGTTTATATTGAAACAAGTAATGTTTTGCAATTTCGTAAGGTGTTCCTCAGATAGAAAAGATTGTTGATTGGTTAAAGTAATCGACCACATATCAAAATGCTCTGCATAAACGATTGAAACGATGTCATGTAAACCCGAAAAGTGACCATGTAATCGTTTGAGTTTCAGTAACATCGAACGATGCGACGTTACCCGAGAGGTGCGCTGGTTCATGAGAAGAAGTCAACGCTAAGGACCAATGTTTGGATTGCGAGAACGCTAAACAAAGAGGGTTCAGCTATCGCAATGAATAAGATAAGTAATTGTTATACAGATTTGCTTAGCATATCAAATATCCTTTTTATTAATGTAAGGATAGAGGGTTTGTAAGTTTTGCTAAAAAAAAAACAACAACAAAAAACAACAACATTTAGATTGGTCACAGGTGCAAGAGCACTAAACAATAAGGATTGCAAGATCTATCGTTCAGTCATGGGCAAGACGTCACACTGCTACAGACGTTGGATGTTTGTAACTTGACTGTCAAAATATTCATGTTTTTGAAATTGTTTCAGATATTTAGGTCACTACGCAAACGGGTACGTTTTCCGAAGATTTACAAAGACTGCATTTTATGTGTTATAGGGAGATGGAATCCTTACAAACAAACATCCTATTTAGATTTGGCAGCTTTTAAACCAGAGTTACGGTTTTAGGCTTGTTGATTTGTTTCAGACATGGTATTTGCAAGGTGCAAATATGCTCCCTCGGTTCAGCAAAAAGCAGTGTTGGGCAAAGATTTTAAAATGTTATTTTATAGCAAACGTTTTTCAAATGAACTCTTATGTTGCGCATATACAGAGATAGATATTACATTATAGTTTTTGTATAAACTAATAAAGTTGTGCAACGTAAGCATTTCAATTTTGTAAGTCATGACAAACAACTAACGAGTTGTGTTACTCAGGAGTCATTGAATTGTTAAATGTCGTTGTTTGGTAATCTATATTTGTATAGTATTTAAGTTATAAGCTTATGACATTATTGCAGTGAATCGCTACCAGGAGGGTCGGATTCATACTTACACATTGGATACTTCATATCCTGCAAATGAAATTGTACACTTTCTTAACTTTTATTATCAAGAGGATGCTTGAATTAGACAGATTCTTAATGAATTTTTTGTAGGCTATATGTTATCGCAAACATGTTTGTTTGCTACTCACAACATTGATTCATATTTAGAAATGATCAAAATGCCATTAAGGGGTTCTGAGAGTAATCATAAAGAACTTTTTGGTTGGGAAATGTCGTGAATCGTTACCAGGAGGGTAGGGTTCAGGCATATCTTTTTAGATACTGAATATCCGTACAAAAACAAATGGTATCCTGTATAAGTTTCTATATTCAGAACTTTTCGTCTTCATAGACAAGTTGGTAAATTATGGAGAATATTTTATTTGACTGATTCAATGAAATAAACTGCTTGATCAAATGAGTTCTAAGAGAAGTCGTATTCAGGCTCAAACAGTTTATGTTGATAGATGCAAAAAGGTTACTAATATATTTTTGATTTACATGTTTATAAATAGCTCTTTTAGCTTAAAATGTCGTGGATCAATATTGTTGAATACTGGTTATGTAAAATAGAAGTGAAATCCTATAAAACTGCATTGTGTAATATCAGCATTTTAGGTTTTCTGATGGGGTGTTTATACCAACAGTTCGGTCTAGTTTCTCTGTTTATAACATTGATAAAGAAGATGGTTATCTTTGAAGGTATGTTGTGAATCGATACACGGGTAGTCGGATTCAGACATATGCTTGGTAGCATACTTTACAATGGTTGTATTTGCTTACTTTTCGTCTTTAACACTCTTGTTTTCGATTTGTTTGAAAATCGATACTTTTCTAAGGCGAGTTGAAGATTTTGAATAGATACTTTAGTAGTCTGATTAGGCAGGTGAATTGAATTCCCTAATATAATCATTTAGGTTTAAAACCTGGATCGAGTTTATATAAGATTGACTATTCTTTAGAAGATAGTTGAATTGTCTTGATTAGAGACTGGGAGTAGTCGAATTTGGACATTTACTTTGGTTACATTGTTAGTTAAATGCACGATTATTGCATGTTGAATAAATTCTAGAAGATTAAATGAAAAATTGGGGAGTTGCTCCATACTTGATACGTTTTGAAATAAGCGTGAGATTAGTGTGTCGATTCCTGGTCCAAATGATAATTGTACATTTTTAGAGTTTACTGTATATAGCATAGAGAAATCTATGTACGATAGACAAATGGTGTGAGTTGATACATTGGATATTTGGATTCAGGTATGTTCTCTGGATTATCCATGTTTTTGCAAACATTGATGTTTAATATTTATTAATGCATATGATTTTGGTTGAAATGGAGCAGGTTATTTGATATATGATAAAATCTATTTTGGAATAGTTTAGTTCAAGCGATTGTGTTGGTTGGTGAATTGATTTTTGAAGTTGTCAATTCAGATAGACTACTTGATTGTTATGTTTAACCTGCAACAACAAGAAATACACTTAGTAAAATTACGTAATGGAACTCTGACTTAGGATTGTTATTATGTTTGGCATTATAGCCATTACGTTGAGTAGTTCTTCTGTTGAATAAGAATTGTTGTCATGTTTGACATTATAGCCATGACGTCGAATAGTAGTTAATATGGTTTTAAGATGATAGTTGTGTTCCTAGCAACATTTACAATATTAGTGTAACAAACACATTAGAGAAGTGTTTGCCAGCTAATTGCATTCTATATTGAACGTGTTTGGCATTACGTTGAGCAGTTGTTCTGTTAAAGTTCAGTTGACATTCCGACATGAAAATTGTTATCATGTTTGGCATTATTACCAGTATGTCGAATAGTTGTTCTGTTGAAGTACAGTTGGAACTCTGACATAAAAAATGTTATCATGTTTGGCATAATTACCAGTACGTCGAATAGTTGTTCTGTTGAAGTAGTACAGTTGGAACTCCGACGAAAAATTGTTGTCATGTTTGGCATTATTACCAGTACGTCGAATAGTTGTTCTGTTGAAGTACAGTTGGAACTCCGACGTAAAGAATGTTATCATGTTTGGCATTATAGCCATTACGTCGAGCAGTTGTTCTGATGCAGTACAGTTCGAACTCTGACGTAAAAGACTTTAAGTCTACTTGTATCGTGGGTTGACGGATTCGTATAATGCGTCGAACGCAGGTACAATTTAGCAACCTCAAAAAGGGGTTAGTCGCTTGGAGCGACAATGCGATATTTACATGTTTTTAATGCTATTTCTGTGTAATTTCAGGAAATACAACCCATATTAGGGTATGGACACACGCCTAAATGAACATTGGAACACAAGTTGTCCTTATAAGATAGATACAAGTGTGATATAAATAAGATGCTTTGGACTGATTCAAAGAAGACTACTTTGTTGGATTGAGATCCATATAAGATAGATACAAGAAATACAACCAATAGTAAGGTATGGACACAAGCCTATTTGAACACTGGGACACATTTTGTCCATATAAGATAGATACAAGCGTGATATAGATTAGATGCTTTGAGCTGATTAAAAGAAGACTACTTTGTTGGATTGAGATCCATATAAGACAGATACATGTACGTGTGATACAGATACGATGCCTTGGACTGATTCAAGGAAGACTACCTTTGTTGGAAGTCTCAAAGAAGAGACATTTCGAGCTTTGGTCACTAGTTTGCCCGTTTTTTAGAAGGTTCTGGCGTAGCTGCTGGCTCCAATTTAATCCTATAATATATGTGATATTATGTTGTGTGGTTTGTGGTGAAGACTGTTTAATTAGGAAATAATTAAAATTCAACACGTTTGAAATTAGAGTTGAATTATTTTATTTCCGGTTGATATAACGTCGTAACGTTAGTGAAATCGAACGCGATTTCAACTGATTGGATAACATGATGTGATCATGAGTAGGTTATGTGAGTAGATGCACGATGGGATCGTGTTATTCTGCGAGCAGCAACCTAAGCGTTTATACACAGTTTTAATTTATGTTGTAAGTTGTCATACAACGGATTCGAAAATTTAGTTTTATTGTTCGAGGAGGCATACCTTTTTCCCTTTCGAAGTCACAAAGATTTTGATCTGGGTTTTAACGGTGTCAGGTCGATAAACTAACGTTTTTCATATTGAAGTTAGTGAACACTTTCTTGT